CCATATTAACAACATACAGATAGTGAAATGTTTTACAAGCTTACCTTTAATTTCAATTGGCTGAACTGAAGCCACTGGGTTATTTTCTACAAAATACAAAAAGAATATGAAGAGAGTAATTTAAAGGGACAACATACCTAAAGGGATAACATACATAAAGGAACAACACGTATAATGTTTAAGACCATACATAACCAAACGTAGGCTTACTCATACTGAAAACGCGTAGTCGAAAACATATTCAGATTGGTTAATCCAAAATGAAGTAATGGTCATTTAAATTTAAAGTTTATAATGATTTCATGTCGCTATCTGATGTGACGGAGAGTTTACAGAATATGATCATATTACTGACCTGAAATACTTGGACGTTCACTGCATGTGCAATGTGGCTGCGATCAGCGTTAGAGAGATTTTGAAGCATAACTAGGTCTAATTGTGTATGTAACATAGGGTCCCGATTTTAATATTTAATGATATCTATGTTACCATTTCATCCAGAAGACTACGCGACTTGCAACATAATATATTTTTTATGATTTGTTTTCAGTCAATTGGTACAATGAACAATACAATTACCTGTAGAGGGTCGTGATGGTTCAGCTGATCTGACATTGATTACGTGACCCCTACCAGTTCTATAGAAAAACTAAAATAAAAAAATACATCTTCTTTCCTTTAGCAACTTGGGCATTGAACGGCGAATTTGGTGTAAATTGTGTACATAATTAAATAATGTAATTCCAGAAAGGTTGCCACTTTAATCTGATAATCTGGTAATTTATCATTCTCGTAAAGATAATAAGTAAATTTACCAATCGCCTAATCCTACTTACCAATCGCCTAATCCTTTCCCGTATTGTAATGGGAGCTGGTGTCTCCTCCCTGGTCACGGGCCTACTGCCATAGCTTTCTTCTTCGTCATGGTCGTCTGTCGTTTGCGGTTTAAGACAGCATGAAGAAAATATGCCACAGCACTGTTGGTAAAAGAAATATTTTTAATTGAAAAATCTAATGTATCTCCATGTTCGGAAATTTAAAAACCGCCACGATATCAAAAATAAGATGCAAAATGTTAAAGATATGAAACTAAGCTGCTTTGTGTGGGAAGATGAAGATGGTACGATTTTATACACCTTGGCCTTGCCAAATTTTAAAGTGACAGTTTATAATAGTTCTAAAATAGACAATGAAAGAAGAATATATTGAAAATGTCAGTCAAATTACTTTATTCTGAGCGGAGTTATGGGCGTTAGCAGATGTATATTGTCTATTACGGTCTGGACAATCTATAGAGTGTTGATTATGTGAATGTTCACCAATCACTCTTCGTCGCCGCAATCCACCCACATAATATGTGGTATTAAATTAACCAGCTTGGCCCCGCGAATGTTTTAGCCATGATTCGGTTCAGTTTGGGCCCCGGGCGAAATCGGGTATCTATAGTATCTTAATAATAAACTTTGAACAAGCAATTATATCACCAGGTCGTGATAATTTTATTTTAACAATTCGTATAATACACTTACAATGGTGGTGCCATTACTTCCACGTGCTTTACCATTTCTGCCTCTTGCCATAATTAATGATAGATGTACTGAAATTAAGAATCATTAAAATTAATATACGATCCATTGTATATTTTATACACGTTGGATATCGTTTATACAGTGTTAGGTTGAGTAATAGCTGCAAGAGTAGGGCAATACCATTTGCTCACCTGGCTTGGCAAAAGTAACTACAGACTTTAAGAATTTATTACTCCCAACTTGTGGCACACGAAATCTTTATAAATAGGTAATCGCGCGGCTACATTTTATTTGTTACGGTTTGAGTGTTTTTTTTTAAGTATTTTTTTTATCTTTTTTGTTTGTTTTTGTTGAGACAATAATAATTAATCCTTGGATAGACCAAATATGCCTTTAATAGTAGGTCTATAATAATAAATTGATATAGAGATCCAAAACTATAGATAAATTATAGATAAATTGATATAGATAGATAATTATAGCTGTTGTTGTTTTAAAAACAACATAATGTATTTTACATAATTATTTTAATTTAGAGGTAAGATATAAGCTTACTGAAGCGATATACAATATTTAAATTTATATTATCACATCTGATAAATATTGTTCCCGAATTAAGAGAAAGAAAAAAAGACTGTCCCAAAAACAAGACTAATAACTCAATTCAGCATAAACCAATACCTAAATTTTATATTAAGAAATCTATTCCAGAAGTTCTGTTTTTATTAATAGCAGACGCAATTTCATATCATAAATAATTACATGTTTGCGAAAATAATGCGCAGTATACGCCGGTAGTGTACTTCCACCCGCGAATATATTTGTTTTTCTTTCCAGACTTTATATAGTAAATAATAGTAATTATAATTCTACTTACAACTGTGTCATCTATTTCTACAAATACTTACTTAGTTGTAGTATAATATATTACTTGGTCTAGTAAATACTAGTAAATGCGTGTTATTTTAATAGCATGCAATGACTGCTTTCGCCTTTAAAGATAACGTCGCTATGATTAACGAGTAACGTCACAATGGACAATATCCCGTCAATTCGGGATATTTCGGCTATTTACGGAATCATTCTGAACGAGACATTTTGTAGGTAACCTTTAGTTGATTCTACTTGAAATATAAAATAAATTGAAAATATGATTACAAAAATAATCGATACATTGGCTTTGATCATCGCGGAATGAAATATTATACTGTTATTAGTGCAAACTCCGCTCATGCTATAGTTACTAAATTATCCGGACGTTATAGTTTTATAATATAGCCTACCTACAATACAAACTAACAAGTCACATCCTAGATTTTTTTAAATTCAAGTACGTTCTAGTTATTTCCCCATTATTTTCTACATGTAAAGCTCAAAGTTCGTCAATGATTTGCTAAGGCGGCGGAACGAATATTCACTTTAACAACTTCCACCTCTTCCATCCCCAGAAAAAAAAGTAAAATAGTTTCATGCTTATTTAAATAAATAAAAAAAAAGATTAATGTGTATGGTTTTCGTACTTTTGGTCATGAGGTGACAATTAAAATTAGTCTTTCAGATCTGTTCTTATTATTCTTGTAGTAATCGGTTGATACAGAAATAATACTTATTGATCATATTTATTTATTTCTGGAAAATTTACATTTTTTTTTTCAATATTTAAAATATCATGCAATATCAACACAAATTAAACAATTACCAGAGAGAATTTCTTATTTAGTGTTTGGTATGTTCAGTTCATACCTCACAAATCAATATCGTTACATATTGTTCCTCAAACGTACAAATCTAAAACACATAACTGCACATTTAGTCTTTTTGTCAGCTGTCCTTGGATTAATGTAACATCTTTTTTCTTAAGAGTTGGTTGTTCTTTATTTCTGTTGGGCATGAAAGAAATACCATATCCAATAGCAGCGAGACCAGTGCCCGATTTTAACCACAGGCTTGATAAGCTGAGAAATAGAGCATCAAAATCCGGCTCTGAGTGAGATAACTTCTCTGTAACGCTCTTGAATTTATCAATCTGTTTTTAACGTACCAGTTGATTCAAATAATATACATGTATGCTTTAACGCCTGCAACATCCAATTAATAAAAGACCATCCTTGGCTAGCCCAGGGGCGCCGGAACCCGGGTACCAGGGTATACAAATAGTACCCTGCCCCTTTTCGGGGTATACATGTATATATACCCATGCTCTCATGATGAAAGTTTTCAACCTTTTTACTAGTCTATTCATTTTTGAATAATCAGGCTTTTATCTCTTTCATTATCATGTATTTCAAAGGGTTTTATGTTGGAATTTGGAATGCTAGAGGCGCTCTAAACAGCGTTCTCGGAATTGACAAATTTCAAAATTTTCTAGAACCGGGGGGAGAGATCTTGGGCTAGCTGTATCTTTCTTTTACAAGAATAATTGCCAATTAATTCATCCACATTATCCACACTATGCCTAGTTTGGTTATAAAATAACACTACTTCAGGTTTACGTGATGAATTGTCATATTCGTGTAGGCAGTGATGAATCTGTTCAAACTGAGTCAATTGTTTAATCGACTAATTGATAATAAACTAATCAATTATATAGAGGTATATCAGACTGTGAAACGCATAATTTAATCTAAAACATTCTCAGACACACTTAGTATTTACAATGTTCGGGTGACATAGTAATTGTAAAATTTAACATTTAACTTTATTTTCCCTTTACATGCTCGGAAAGGCAAAAATCTACCGCTTGAGATACTAAGTCGAGCGCTTGAGATACTAAGTCGAGCGCTCGAGATAATCCAGGCGAGCATGTCTCAACCGATGTTTTAAGGTGTATAATTTTGTGCATTATTTAATGATAAACTTGCAGAATAAAGATATTTATTAGTTCGTTTTTACAGCCCATCCAAATCTGCAGTGACGGAGCGGATACTACCCCCCCCCCCCCCCCTGCTCAGGTATGATCCAAGGATATTTCTTTCATATGTTGAAACTGGTCCCCCCCCCCACCACCACCACCAACCGCCCCGCGCCCCGCCCCGCCCCACATTCGTACGTATTATGGATTTAATGAAATGAAAAGACCGCCATATACGGGAACTACCCGACAATCAACATCAATTTAATCTTTATAAAATAATTTTAAACACCGTGAACGGAGAGAAACTCTCTACTATGATCATCTAGTGAAATAAGAAGACATACTTTTTGTTATTATTTATTAATAGGACCAGATACATGTACAAACAAAACAGAATTGTGTGCAATATTTACAATATTCTTTGTGATAATATACTGTCTAGTATACAATTATTTACTATTCAATTTTCGGATTGAAGTGTTCATGGTATTATTCTTGATTATATACTTTATAAAATAATTTAAGATAACTTTCATTTCAAAATATGGTAAAACAATTTGTATATTGGTCTACTTCTACCAACTTGTATATTGGTCTACTTCTACCAACTTGTCTATTATTGGTCTACATCCACCAACTTGTATATTGGTCTACATCCACCAACTTGTATATTGGTTCACCAACTTGTATATTGGTCTACATCCACCAACTTGTATATTGGTCTACATCCACCAACTTGTATATTAGTTCACGTCTACCAACTTGTGTATTGGTCTATTTCTACCAACTTGTATATTAGTCTACTTCCACCAACCTGTATATATTGGTCTACTTCCACCAACTTGTATATTGGTCTACATCCACCAACTTGTATATCGGTCTACATCCACCAACTAATAAATTGGTCTGCGTCCACCAGCTTGGATACTGGTCTGGTTCTACAAACCTGTATATTGACTGTCTGTCTGATGAAAGTCCGATAATAGGATAAGCAGAGTAAGAATTTACGCCATTTTATTGGTCGAGAATTTTATACAGATTGGGTGGAAGTTGTGAAACGTGGTGGTGAGCATTTTCTGCGTAGAGTCTTCGATTTGATTGGTCAAATTCCCTCTAGCAATGATAAACAACACAATGAATAGACGTTTACTATTACCAGTGAACTGGATGCTTTAATATTACAAATGTTTAATTTCTGACGAAAAATTGGAAAAAAACATTTTGTTAAACTAATAGTCATTAAAATGAAATACAAGAAAATATATAACACAAATTTTAAGTTTAATAAGCGTTCCGAGAAATAAATTATAAAATCTGAAGACACCATTTTAATGGGGGGCAAATGCTTTACCACTTAATTTGTTCAACTATATTATATCGCAGAAAACTTACCTTCGCAGAAAACTATAGCTAATCAAACCGCAGTGGAATTTTGCGACGAAAAACTCCCTTTTTCCCAGGCTGAAATTATTTATAAAATAGTTTTACAAGATAAGAAATACAGTTATCAATGGCGGCCAAAATTTGAACTTATACCACATCATTAATATAATCCGATGTATGTAGTGTAAAATTCCCTTAATTTTGTAAATATGATATCAAATTTTACAATAAACTAGCCTATGTCTGATATGATAATAATAATAATGATGTTGATTTTACCTGGGCCCATGCATGCTTTATTTTGTTGCCTGGGACAAATGGTGTTGGTTGTATCGGCACCTTGCTGTCTGGCCGCAATTCAGACAGAATGCCCTCAAAATGTTGATCCTGAATAATAAATAAACTTACAGTCATTTATTGTTTATTTTAAATTTAATATATAAAACAGATCCTGTATATTATTATATTACTTCTAACACCGGAAATAAATAAACTAATGTGTATGTTCTGTACATCTGTTGTATCTAGTTGAATATACGATTCCTTATTATGTAATTGTAGCACGTATATTTTAAGAAATATATTTTTAGACTAAAGAAAGGAAGGACAATGTGGGAAATCCACACCAGACCACAGACACAAATATAACACAGATTGCCCATATTAATTTGTTTTTTCTTTCATGGTAGATTTATCTAATTTTATATAACAGATACAAAATGCCAGGGGTAAGAAAATAAAAGAAACAAAAATACTTTTAAATCGGTCTAAATTCAACTTCAGGGTATAATTTAAAAACAGAATTGATATCTACCTTTTCAGAAACTGAGTGGTGTTTTTGTTTGGACGGAAGTTGTTCTGGTTGGAATGCAGCCATTTGTCTAGCCAAGTAATCTGTGAAAATATGGAGCAATTAAATGAAAAATTCTATATTATAAAACGGCATTAACTTATATCTACATGTTGTAGTTAAAGCCCTCGTGGTGAATATTTGTTAAACAACAATTCGATTGATATTAATGGTGGAAATCAATCAATTTTTTATATAGAAAAGTACTGACTTTTCACTGAAAAAGATTCTTATTATCATAATACATATGCCCCAGATCCATTAATTTATCAAAATATAAATAAGATAGTTTGTCACAGTTATTGTAAACATTCATTGTGAAGTATTTAACAATACAATATAAACTATTTATATAAGTCCATAATACACTTACTTATTTCCTTGACATTGTTTTCAAATTCTGTTGCTATAAAACATGAAGTATATAATGAAACAAATTGTATCATGAACTTAACGAATCTAAATCAAAACACCCAACGTGTGAAGACAATTATTACAACATAAAGACAGAAATATGAATCTAAAGCCTGCACGGGACACCAGATAATTTCAGAGACAAGTAGAGTCACTATTTATTGTATATATATAACACACCCACCCACTTGTCCATAATATACAGTTACAAGTAAATTGAGTGATATACAAAATATAGTAAGGTATATGTATAGTTTAAAAAAGAGAACATACTAAGATCTGCCACCTCCCGTTCCAGAACAGCAATCCTCTCAATCCTCTCAACCGTCCTACCAGCCAGCTTCTTTCCATCTGAAAAGAAGATGACATCATAGTATCTAAAGAGAAAATCCCTGATTTAATGCTATATGCAGGTATCTGAAACTCTCGGATGTATTTTTTTTACAATGCATGTATTACATGATAATTAGTTTCATGAACTAATAAATTCTAAAAACGAAATAATTAAAATATTAAATTTGGTCTTACCCTCCCAGAATATAACACCCTCGTGCTGTTTTTTCGGGGTCTTTCTTGGCTCCACTACGGGTGCTTCTTTTACGGTGATTAAAGCACTAAATTTCAAAAGCGAAAGATATACTATTTTGAGTTAAAAACTGTTGTTATTATGTAATTAAAGATGCATTATGAAAGATATATACTATTTTGAGTTAATTAAACCCATAAAAATACTTTTACAATGGACTGGTCTGTATACAAATACTTTATTTATCTAAGACTAACAGAGGTAAAGATAGCGATGTGTGAAATCAATAGAAACCAATGTAACCCGACAATTGGTTGATTTTATTGATGTTTGGAGTACAGTGGGTTTTATGTCATAAAATTATTTTTGAATGTATATGCTCTCTATTTATAACGTTAAATCTGGCCTGTTGGGGCTTTAAAAAAGCAAAAGTAGTTGCTATACATTTCTTTTAAGTACAGACATAAATATACATAAAGAGAATAGAAAGTATTGTCGATTTAAGGCCTATTTCACTAGGTGGGTGTGAATCATCATTTGAAAAAATATATTCATTACAGTATAAAACATAGAGACACGTCTGCTTAGTTTCGTGAATGTAACTTACGGGTGAATATACACGTCAGCATCATCCTCACCATTTTCTGACACCGGTGAAGCCCATGAAGCCGCTGACGCCTCGGCCACCAAACCCGCTTTACTAAATATAAAACAACACGTAACTATATAATGGTTCCCCGATTAAATATAATGAAGCCTGATGCTTATATTGATAAATAATGTATCATTCTTAGGATTACATAAGATAGACGCTCTGATGATTATATAGATAAACAACATGAAAGTCGAATAATTACATGGATAAATCATACATACACAATTACACACAACAAATAAATCAAACATATATATAGAGAGAGATAATTAACACATACTTTAACTTAACTAAATACTAATTAGCCTAATAAATACACAGCCACAAATGTTGGTGATTATACAGATACATGTAAATAACTTACTGTGTCTTAATGTCATCTGCCCCATGTTCTGAAAGGACAGGCGATACCACAGGCGCCTCATCCACAGCACCCATTTTACTAAATATAAAACGGTGTAAGTGTAATTGAATGAAATGGGGTTTAACGTCCTACTGATCTGGTTCGACTGTGCTAATGAAGACGGATAAGTCTAATGATTACCCAATGTAAACATAATAATTAATATAATGATTCCATAATGTAAATATAATGATTACTATATTTACATAATGTAAGTATAATCATTACATAATACAAATATAATGATTACATAATGTAAATAATCATATACATAAATGAGTAAACAGGTAAATAATGAATGAATCCAATGATTACATAATTAATTACAGATTCATTTTGTTTTATGTGCGTGATTGTGGGTCTTTCAATCGGCCTGGTAGAATAACATTATCTGAGCCTGGGATAGAAACGTAAAAATATTCACAATTTAAACCATGCCAAAAAACTGTAATAATAACTATAAAAATCTTACGGATTGCTGTTTTTAACGACATTTTCTTCTTTTGGTGGCGAGTTTTCCTCTGAAAACGAAAATATCCAATATAATTACAGCGTATAAAGTCCAAATATTAGCTTTATTTATTAGGTATCTGTTGTGCAGGACCTGTACGTTCTAAAACACCACAAATATCAAATATCACAAGCTATTACTTGTTCACAAACCAGTAAGAGGGTCATTAAAATACAAAGTAACGGCTCTAGTATGATAACAGTATCATCATTGCTAAGAACCATTTCGATCGTTACGATATTGGTTCAACAACTAAAACAATGAAAAAACTCAGAGGATGAAGTTTAAAAACTCGCGTCGAAAGGCCTCTATCAAATGGCTCGATAGCGCCTGTATTGTTTACATAAGGAAATATTTTTTATCCAGATATATACCTCAAACAAATGTTCTAGAAATTAATTTACAGAAGAAAAAAGTTAATATTAACCCTCACCGATGTCATCTCTCTCAGTGATTGTAGCGGCCTAGCCAATATTAACTGTTGATCAGTGTGGTATCTACTATTAATACCAATACCATATTTACAACATACAGATAGTGAAATGGTTTACAAGCTTACCTTTAATTTCAATTGGCTGAACTGAAGCCACTGGCGTATTTTCTACAAAATACAAAAAGAATACATACCTAAAGGGATAACATACATAAAGGAACAACCGTATTATGTTTAAGGCCATGCATAACCAAAAATAGGCTTACTCATACCGAAAACGCGTAGTCGAAAACATATTCAGATTGGTTAATCCAAAATGAAGTAATGGTAATTTAAATTTAAAGTTTATAATGATTTCATGCCGCTATCTAATGTGACAGAGAGTTTACAGAATATGATCATATTACAGACTTGAAATACTTGGACGTTCACTGCATGTGCAATGTGGCTACGATCAGTGTTAGAGAGATTTTAAAGCATAACTAGGTCTAATCGTGTATGTAAGTCTCGAGCTTAATATTTAATGATATCTACGTTACCATTTCATCCAGAAGACTACGCGACTTGCAACATAATATATTTTTTTATGATTTGTTTTCAGTCAATTGATACAATGAACAATACAATTACCTGTAGAGGGTCGTGATGGTTCAGCTGATCTGACATTGATTACGTGACCCCTACCAGTTCTATTGAGAAACTAAAATAAAAAAAAATACATCTTCTTTCCTTTATCAACTTGGGCATTGAACGGCGGATTTGGTGTAAATTGTGTACAAAATTAAATAATGTAATTCCAGAAAGGTTCCGACTTTAATCTGATAATCTGATAATTTATCATTCTCGTAAAGATAATAAGTAAATTTACCAATCGCCTAATCCTACTTACCAATCGCCTAATCCTTTCCCGTATTGTAATGGGAGCTGGTGTCTCCTCCCTGGTCACCGACCTACCGCCATAGCTTTCTTCTTCGTCCTGGTCGTCTGTCGTTTGGGGTTTAAGACAGCATGAAGAAAATATGCAACAGCGCTGTCGGTAAAAGAATTATTTTTAATTGAAAATATAATGTATCTCCAATGTATCAAATGTAATGTATCAAAAATAAGATGCGAAATGTCGAAGATATGAAACTAAGCTGCTTTGTGTGGGAAGATGGAGATGATACGATTTTATACACCTTGACCTTCCAAACTTTAAAGATGCTTTATTTGGAAAAAGAGTTGACAGTTCTCGCTATAATAGTTCTAAAATAGACAATGAAAGATGAATATATTGAAAATTTCATTCAAATTACTTTATTCTGAGTGGAGTTATGGGTGTTAAAAGATGTAGCTTGGCTTGTCTATGACGGTACTGGGCAATCTATAGAGAGTTGATTATGGACTTATGTTAATAAATATCTAAATAATATAACATTGACTTAGTCTCGAATATCCATTGTATCGTTAAATTTTAAAATCTAGCAGGCGTTCTAATCCATTTAAATGAATCTCTGCTTTTCGATAGCGCCATCTGCTAGCAAATTGTATAAACTTTCTGTGGAACAATCAATTTCAGGTAAAAACGATCGGAGTCACATTGAACCAGGACCCTTCTGAAATGGCCTCCCGCACAAATACAAGCCTATCGTAGTCGTACCCTTTATTTGACCTTAATTTGGCTGAGAAGTGGAAGTCAGTTGTTGAACTGGTATTTAAGATTCGTATTAAACATCATTTGGAAGTTGTAATTAAACCTAATCGTTGTTCTGTTCGCATCAAGTCTGTTTAGCCTTTTATGCGAAAAGACAAAAATGTGACTTAGATCTTTCTCGCCCTGGACTCTTCACGTGTGTATGTTCGTCCATCACTCTTTGTCGCCGCAATCCACCGACGTTATATTGTACAAAAATAAACCAGCCTGACACCGTGAATGTTTTAGGCCATGATTCGGCCCAATTTGCGTCCCTGGCGAAACCGGGTATCTATAGTATCTTAATAAACTTTGAACAAGCAATTATATCACCAGGTCGTGGTAGTTTTATTTTAACAATTCATATAATACACTTACAATGGCGGCGCCATTACTTCCGCGTGCTTTACCATTTCTGCCTCTTGCCATAATTAATGATAGATGTACTGAAATTAAGAATCATTAAAATTAATATACGATCCATTGTATATTTTATACACGTTGGATATCGTTTATACAATGTTAGCTTGAGTAATTGCTGCAAGTGTAGGGCAATGACATTTGCTCACCTCGCTTGGCAAAAGTAACCACAGAATTTAAGAATTTATCACTTCCGCCCCCAAATTCACAAATTTAAAATACACAAATCGAATTCCTTGAGAGACTCCCAAACCCAGTTAAGAGGTATTCCACACTTGGAAAAGTGGGCTACATGTTTTAATATTAATAAAGATATCGAGACAACTTGTGGTACCCCACCTCTCTCCAGAATATAGCTTGGTGGCACACGAAATCTTTATAAATAGGTAATCGCTCTGCTACATTTTATTTATTACGGTTTGGTTTATTTTTTTTAATTTTTTGTTTGTTTTTGTTGAGACAATAATCCATGGATAGACAAAATATGCCTTTAATAGTAGGTCTATAATAATAAATTGATAGAGTGATCCAAATCTTGATAATTATAGGTAGATAATTATAGATGTTGTTGTTTTAAAAACAACAAAATGTATTTTACATAATTATTTTAATTTAGAGGTAAGATATAAGCTTACTGAAACGATATACAGTATTTAAATTTATATTATCACATCTGTCATGATCTGATCAATATTGTAAGGTTACCGACACCCTGTCCGCATCGGCGCCTACGATTAATTAAATGTGGGAATGGGAGGGGAAGATCGCCGAAGGCGGGTCTTGTCAGGATATCCGTGTTGGCGTCTGGTGATGTTGTTTTCCTCCTTTTTCCGGTTCCATTTATGCGCTCCCATCCCTCGTTTATTATTTAACACCCAGCCCAACCTTCCGATATACGGGTTCCTTGGAAGCTAGCCCCACGATTAAAGGGGAGTAACTCTTCATTTACTCTACCCCGTAAGTAACGACTAAGGCTAAATATACGTTCAATATGCCTGTTCCTTTATTACGTGAAAAAGGATTTAAAGTATAATATGACAATGAAATACATTTATATACATGTTAAAATATGGGTGTCCGGCGTGGTGGGAGATAACGTTCGTGATTATTACATATTGTTAACCCGGCGACAATATTAATGGCGGCATATTTAGGCTACTACAAACGAAGGTAATAGTAGCAATACTCTTATATTCGAAACATTACAGATCCAAGTTCCCCCGCGGGCATGATTCTCACCTTATTATTTAGGTAATTGGTCGGGTAATTGCGACAAGAAAGATTTTTCCGCTTTTGATCACTTTATGAAAAAGGTAGTTTGCCGTGGATACGACGAACCGTTATCTGCCCTTCCGACGTTCGATCACCCTTTATATAGAAAAATTAAAGTATCACGTGACGTCATTAACCAATCAATTATTGTCCTTTTTGTTGTTGTCGGCACTTCTTTGACAATTGAAGTGTTCGACGTTAAAATAGTCTATTAAAATAACGAATCCAACTTGTCCGGTACTTGTCCGTTTCACTTAAATTTGACAAGGAATTATTTAATACGTACAGCGAAGAGATTGATTATAAACAGACAAAACGGACAATAACTATCAACAGCGTAATTTTATGAAATGTGATCAAACCACGCGTAACTATTCAAGACGTAATGGGTAACAACATAATCCAGTTGAACTACGTCAATCCTGGCCATAAAACATATTAAAACCCGATACAATTATTATAACAACCAAGATAAATTACTATACTTGGCAATGATGTACAATAAGCATAACCAGAAGACTAATAGAAACATTATATGTAACAATCTGACAGGTCGTTGTTAAGAACGACGTGACACAAAATGGACGTCTACGTATTGAAATATATAAATGTGCTCGTATTCGTAACTAAGGACTATTCCAATGCAAAATTGAACGTTCGGGAAAAGGACTATGCAATGTTATAATTGACAATAAGTGCAAAAATACCGAGAAGATTATTCGGGAGGCTAACAAGTAAGTAAAACTTGTTCGTTTTATACAAAATATTACTTGAAATGGTTTGTTTACACGAGGCCTTGATTTCACGACTGACGGTAATCACGTTATAATAATAATATGTCCGTACCAAAATACCCGCCGCATGCTGATAATTTAACGAACAATCTAAGACTTAAACAACAATATAACAATCAAGTAATGCAATAAAATGATAATATGTACAGGGCTGAATTCGATATATTACACTCCCCCCACCTTAATTTCTTAATTCTCCCGAATTATTTAACATGCAAAATTATTAATAAATTTGTGAAAACATTTAAACATGGTCGACGGCGAGTCTTAGAGGTATCCCCATCTCGTCTATTCTTGATAGGACGTCTTCGACTCTTTTCCCTCGCACCGCCTCTTCCAACATCTGGATCAATTCCTCGTCCTGTAGAGATGCGTCTTTTTCCTCTGCAATTCTCCTAAGGGCTGTATATAAATAAAATCGATACTGACCCTTCACATATGCTGCCTTATTATTTTTGGTGGTATCAGCTGTTCCGGGAAGGACCAAATAGCTATAGAGCACGAGTAGGTCTGTCTTCGGCTTTGGTGTGGTCACTCCAGCACAAAATTCTAATATGGTGGTAGCATGTTCAAACTGGCGTAGCTTTTCTTGGCCACTCATCGTTCTCCAGCCCCGTGGTGGCCACATATACTTAGTTGGAGGGTTTACAAGTTCAACGAGCTCTTCCCCGGTCCATTCCCTTCGCCCTGCCGGAAATAAGGGCATTCCTCCTCGGCGCAGCAGATGTCGTGCCCTCTCACATAGTGTTGGTGTACTTCCTTTCGCCGGTCCCTCCTCCTCCGATCTCTCCTGCTTCTTTTTCTCCTTCTCTAATCTCTCCTCGTCTTTCTGCCTCCTTTCCTCTTCCAATCTCTCATTCCTCTCTTTCTCCAATCTCTCCTCGGTTTTCTGTTTCCTCTCTTTCTCCAATCTCTCCTTCTCCTCCCTACCCTTCTGTAACCTGTCCTCGACTCTCTGTTTCCTCTCCTCCTGTAACCTCTCCTCCTCTTCGAGTCTCCTCTCCTTCTCGACCCTCTCTTTTACTATCTGCTCCTCCTTCTCCCTTAGTATCTGCTCCTTCTCCTTCTGTAACTTCTCCTCATTTTGTCTCCTCTCCATCTCGACCTTCTCTTTTACTTCCCTCTCTTCCTTCTCCCTTAGTATCTGCTCCTCCCGCTCCTTCTCCTTCTCCTCATTCTGTCTCCCCTCCATCTCGACCCTCTCTTTTACTATCTTCTCTTCCCTCTCCCTTAGTATCTGCTTCTCCCGCTCATTCTCCTTCCCTAACCTTTCCTTCTCTAACCTCTTCTTCTCGACCTTCTCCTTAACCATCTCCTCCTCCCTCTCCTTCTTTAGTCTTTCCTTCTCAATCCCCTCTTTTACTATCTGCTCCTCCCTCTCCTTCTCTGATCTCTCCTCGTCTCTCCGTTTCTTTTCCTCCTCTAATCCGCCCTCCTCGTTATCATCACCTGTCTTCACCCGTTTCTTCTCAATAATTTCTTCCTGTCCTTCCTCTTCTGTCTTCCTCTTCCTGATCTCCATCATCTCTTCTTCAAAATCTAATGTAATATCCTCTTCTAGATCCAGAGTTATTTCCGATGTAGACGGTGTGGGTAGAGGCGTCATAGGTCTTATTAGGTCAAAGAGCTCCCCAGACAAATTAATTTCGCCAAGGTGGGAAATCTGGATTCCGAGGGCTTGTGCAGCGGTGTCCTTCCAGGAATCCTTGTCTTCATGTCCAACAGTGTGGAAAACACGAGATTGTGTTTCCCCCACTGCCCATCGTCTTCCCTGCAAAGAAGCCATTCGTCTGGCGAGCGCCTCAACAGCTTTGGGGTCGCGGAAGATAGAGTCTTTAAGCTCGACTTTCAGATATTTCTTCCCGGCGGAAAGTGTTGCCTCCGATAGTCAACACAAAACCGTACTTGTCCATTCTTTTTCGTTACAAGAACAATATTCGAAGCCCATGCACTACTGGATGGTTCTATAACCCCCCTATCTAACATCTTTTCTATTTCAGCCTTTTCAATTTCCCGTTTCCCAAAAGGTAATCTCCGCTTAGATTGTCGTATCGGAAATGCGCTTCCGGTGTTAATAGTGTGAGTTACTCTACTGGTCCTACCGATATCGTCCGCGGATTTTGAGAAGACGTGTCCATATTTCCGAAGCAGTGCGGAAAGGACATTACGCTGTTGGTCGTTCAAGAATTCGGAGCTCCTCGCTAAAAGGTCTTCTAGATGTTCTGGAAATTCGTTGGGGTCGCCATTAGTCATACTAGAAATTTTAGTAGCCGCGACTCGCTCTTGGTGCTGCCATTCGATAAAAGATTCGCATGTTCCGATGGTTTGGCGAGGGTTAAAAGTTATCGGATTGTCTCCATAGTTAATTATATTGACAACGTGTTTCTCGGACTTGGTTGAGATTACGCCTGAAACTACATGGATATCACTCCGATTATTATCGCCCTCGACGTATCCTTCGTCGGTAAGATGTTTTGCACCTGGTATATCAACGGGTAATATTACTCCAGATTGCGGGGGTATAGTAATAGTTTCCTTGACCTCTAATCTACAAATCATGTTTGCCGTCCCCCCTACCCAACACCGTATCTCCTTATGGTCAGCGACTGTCAAGACCATCCGTTTATAGCTTATCTTGTTTACATGGGCGAGGAGGAAATCTTGCCCTAATATCCCGTCTTGCTCTATGTCGCATACGATAAATTGTACATCAAACAATAGCTCTCCGAAATAAACGTTTAATTTGGTGAACCCGTAGGCATTAATCCTGTTCCCATTTACATCATGTATATTCATATTACAGGGTGTCATTGTAGACTTGTTGTTTGAAAGGCTATCGTAACTAGTTTTTGACAATATAGAGGCCGTAGATCCACTGTCGATAAGAAATATTATATTTTTGTCCACTATACGACCATTCGTGTAAAACGCGTTATCCCATGTATGATCGGTTTCCCCTATGTGTCCCGTCCTTGCATTTCCCGTATTCAGTCTCCTTTCCGGCCTATTAATCTCCGCTAACCCTTGGCCTACCGGGTTAACGGTCTCCCGTTTCCCTGTATGTGTCCCGAGGAGCCAGAGTTTCTCTGATGGTGGGCGCGTTTGTTCCTATAATTTTGATCATACGTCGGGCAATTGCGAACGATATGGCCAGGCGCACCGCAGCCGTAGCAAGTTATTGGACCCATAGTATCGGAATCTCTTTGATAAAACGATTTCCCAGTGGTTTCGAGACGATCCAAACGCGCCATTATCTGTTTTAGAGCTTCCTCGAGCTGACCAGTTTGCGCCTTATCCTCCTTTTTCCGCGTATCCTGACCTCGAACGACACTGCTCGTCTCATCACTTTGTGAGATTGCCCTTACGATGGGTTTCTTCCTATCGCCCATCTCCCCAACCATAGACTCATATCTTTCGATGACGTCTACGGCCTCAAGCACGGTTCTACAATCGCGATCTATACATCGGCATTTCATATCGATAGGTATAATTTTATATAACTGATTTAAAGCTAAAGCCTCTTGAGCCATTGCATTCAGATCGCAGTATGCCCTTTGCGCCATTTGCCTTATATCATCTCCAAGTGCGGCAATATTTTCCCCGGGTTGTCGCTTTCTCATTTCTAATTTTGATAGCCACCTGTTTTGGTGTTTATAACTCCCAAATCGTTGGCTAAGCCGACCGATTAGGATCTTGAACGTGCACTTCTCCGCTGCGCTTAAGTTCATATAAAATGTCCTCGCTTGTATAAAAGCTTAGTTCTATCTGACCAACATCCCAATTCGGCGCAGTCATTAAAGTGTGACACGTATTCCTCCCAGTTGTCCTGACCGTGAAACGATTCGGGTTTTACGGTACATATTTGTTGATGAGGGCGTTTTGGACGCTCGAAATCCGCTTCTTCGAAGTCCATTTCGCCTCTTCCTCTATCGCGTCGCATCATTCGTCGACGACCCTCGTTCCTTTGTTGATCGTCAGGTGATCCTACGACTTCTTCGTCTTCCGATTCGTCCGTGAATATACCCCCCTGCCCCATCGCATCGTTCTCCTGAGGCTTTTCCTTACGGTCAAAACTAACTTCGGGGTCCGGTGAGGGAGTATTTGCTTCCGCCATAGCTCTAATAAAAGATTATAAAACTCATTTTAGCGATAATATTGGGACAATAAATGGTGATAGTAAAGGCAGGCCTAGTAGGCGAACAGCATTTAAAATTATTAAATATTATTATTTAACTTTTCATATGTTTAATATTCATATTACATTCCAACAACTCCCTCGGAATATTGAGCGTATTCCAATAGAAATCAGCCAACGTATATACATATTTACACGTTTCTATATACAACAATTCTTTCCACCACGTCGGACAGCTAATTTAAACTTATGACAGGTCAGACTTTGGGTTCGTATCACGCAAAGAAAAAAACTTTCCGTCCCACTTCTGACACCATTTGTAAGGTTACCGACACCCTGTCCGCATCGGCGCCTACGATTAATTAAATGTGGGAATGGGAGGGGAAGATCGCCGAAGGCGGGTCTTGTCAGGATATCCGTGTTGGCGTCTGGTGATGTTGTTTTCCTCCTTTTCCGGTTCCATTTATGCGCTCCCATCCCTCGTTTATTATTTAACACCCAGCCCAACCTTCCGATATACGGGTTCCTTGGAAGCTAGCCCCACGATTGAAGGGGAGTAACTCTTCATTTACTCTACCCCGTAAGTAACGACTAAGGCTAAATATACGTTCAATATGCCTGTTCCTTTATTACGTGAAAAAGGATTTAAAGTATAATATGACAATGAAATACATTTATATACATGTTAAAATATGGGTGTCCGGCGTGGTGGGAGATAACGTTCGTGATTATTACATATTGTTAACCCGGCGACAATATTAATGGCGGCATATTTAGGCTACTACAAACGAAGGTAATAGTAGCAATACTCTTATATTCGAAACATTACAGATCCAAGTTCCCCCGCGGGCATGATTCTCACCTTATTATTTAGGTAATTGGTCGGGTAATTGCGACAAGAAAGATTTTTCCGCTTTTGATCACTTTATGAAAAAGGTAGTTTGCCGTGGATACGACGAACCGTTATCTGCCCTTCCGACGTTCGATCACCCTTTATATAGAAAAATTAAAGTATCACGTGACGTCATTAACCAATCAATTATTGTCCTTTTTGTTGTTGTCGGCACTTCTTTGACAATTGAAGTGTTCGACGTTAAAATAGTCTATTAAAATAACGAATCCAACTTGTCCGGTACTTGTCCGTTTCACTTAAATTTGACAAGGAATTATTTAATACGTACAGCGAAGAGATTGATTATAAACAGACAAAACGGACAATAACTATCAACAGCGTAATTTTATGAAATGTGATCAAACCACGCGTAACTATTCAAGACGTAATGGGTAACAACATAATCCAGTTGAACTACGTCAATCCTGGCCATAAAACATATTAAAACCCGATACAATTATTATAACAACCAAGATAAATTACTATACTTGGCAATGATGTACAATAAGCATAACCAGAAGACTAATAGAAACATTATATGTAACAATCTGACAGGTCGTTGTTAAGAACGACGTGACACAAAATGGACGTCTACGTATTGAAATATATAAATGTGCTCGTATTCGTAACTAAGGACTATTCCAATGCAAAATTGAACGTTCGGGAAAAGGACTATGCAATGTTATAATTGACAATAAGTGCAAAAATACCGAGAAGATTATTCGGGAGGCTAACAAGTAAGTAAAACTTGTTCATTTTATACAAAATATTACTTGAAATGGTTTGTTTACACGAGGCCTTGATTTCACGACTGACGGTAATCACGTTATAATAATAATATGTCCGTACCAAAATACCCGCCGCATGCTGATAATTTAACGAACAATCTAAGACTTAAACAACAATATAACAATCAAGTAATGCAATAAAATGATAATATGTACAGGGCTGAATTCGATATATTACAATATTGTTCCCGAATTAAGAGATAGAAAAAAAGACTGTCCCAAAAACAAGACTAATAACTCAATTTAGCATAAACCAATACCTAAATTTTATATTAAGGAATCTATTCCAGAAAGTTATGTTTTTATTAATAACAATTTCATATCATAAATAATTTCATGTTTACAAAAATAATGCGCAGTATACGCCGGTAGTGTCCCTCCACCCACGAATATATTTTATTTTCTTTCCAGGCTTTGTATAGTAAATAATAGTAATTATAATTCTACTTACAACTGTGTCATCTATTTTTACAAATACTTACTTAGTTGTAGTATAATATATATTACTTGGCCTAGTAAATACTAGTAAATGCGTGTTATTTTAATAGCATGCAATGACTGCTTTCGCCTTTAAAGATAACGTCGCTATGATTAACGAGTAACGTCACAATGGACAATATCCCGTCAATTCGGGATATTTCGGCTATTTACGGAATCATTCTGAACGAGACATTTTGTAGGTAACGTTATAAAGTTGTATAACCTTTATTAGATTCTACTTGAAATATAAAATAAATTGAAAATATGATTACAAAAATAATCGATACATTGGCTTTGATCATCGCGGAATGAAATATTATACTGTTATTAGTGCAAACTCCGCTCATGCTATAGTTACTAAATTACACGTTACTAAATAAACGTTCTATGCAAATAGCGGTATCTTTGCTCTTTGGACCACAAGCAGACTTACCTTCTGTGGTTATTTGAATAATTAAAAAAACAAAACAAAAAAACGATTAATATGTATGGTTTTTGTCAGCTGTCCTTGGATAAATGTAACATCTTTTTTCTTAAGAGTTGGTTGTTCTTTATTTCTGTTGGACACGAAAGATCATAT